GTCCCCGGGCACCTGCTGCTCTCCATGAACGAAGCCGTGCGGCCGGAGGACGGCGTCACGCGCGGCGCCCTCGGCTCCCACCCCCGGCTCAAGTCCCGCCCCATCCTCGTCCGGCAGACGCGGCATAAGGTGATGTCCATCCTCAGCCGCATCACCCCGACCAAGTACGAGGACCTCCTGAACGAGCTCCTCGCGCTGCCGCTGCGGCAAACCGACGACGCCGAGCTGCACGAGATCGTCAAGGTCTTCTTCGACAAGGCCGTGCAGGAGCCGGAGTACAACGGGGTCTACGCGCAGCTCCTGCAGAAGCTGTGCACCATGCGGGATGACGAGCTCAAGCTGGAGGCCAAGCTGTGGGACCGACTGCTCTGCCACCGCATGCGCCGCCTGCTCATCGCGGCCTGTGAGGAGGAGCTCCGCCGGCCGGTCAAGTTGACCCCGGATGATCAGGTGGACCGCACCACCGGCAAGCCGTTCAGCCACGAGGAGCTCGAGATGAAGCACACCCGGCTGAAGAATCGCATGGTGGGCAACATTAAATTCATAGGCGAGCTCTTCAAGATGTCCCTCATCACGGAGAGCATCATCGTAGATATTCTGCGGTTTCTGATGTGGGACTACAGCACGGCGAACCCGCAGGCCAAGGATGACTACGTCTTCGAGGTCTTCGCGATGCTCATCAAGACCGTGGGACCCCTCCTCGGGTACCGAAACCCTTCGACCCTGTCGAAGTACCTTGGGATAGCGAAAAACGTCGAGTTGTCGCACCCACGTCCGAGGGTTCGCTTTCTGATGATGGATTTGAGTGATCTCAGCGTGAAGGATGGCTGGATCGCAACCTCGGCCATCCGCGCAACGACGAATCAATCGGACTGCATGTACTCCCCCAAGTCGCTGACGGAGACGGTGCGATCGTCCGTGGCATCGACCGGTATCACCACCCCCACCGAGGACAACTTTAACCGCCGCGACTTTTCGTCGGACATCTTGCCCTCGTTTATAACCCCGAGCACCTCCATGAACGACATCACCCCGGGATCGCTCAACATCAACGTCGTCTTTCGCGACCCCACCGCGGCGGCCGACTTGACCCCCACCAGCGGACGGATCGTCGACCATCCGAGTCCTACTACCCTCATGAACCCCGCCAAGGCGTGCAGCTCCCATCGGAACAGCACGAGCGGCTTCTTTCCGGAGCCTCCGATCCCGCGCGCGGCGAATCCGCCGGCCGACCCCTCCATCTCACGCGACGATCCCGGCGACTCCCCGACGGCGTCGAACTCCAAAACGACCCCCCAGTCCCGGCTCCCACTGATCCTCAACACGAGCGAATTCGGCTTTAGAGTCCACGGCGACGGCGCCGCCACGCCTGTCCTGAAGTTGACGTCGCCTCTATCCGAGCGGGTGAACATTCACGGGGTGGTCCAGCAGTTGATTGAGCTGTTCAACCACCCCGCGAACGACGACAACGTTCTGCTCTACTTTAACCGAATGGGGGTCAAAAACCAAGTGCTGTCCCTGACCTGCTGGCTGCGGATAGTTTCCACCGACACGTCGCTCTTCCGGGAGCGGGAGCGAGTCACGGAGCTTCTTTCGAAGATTCTCCTGTCCTGCCCGAGCTTCAAGCCGGCGAACATCTTCACGGTGATCGTCGAGTGGATGCGGTTCGACATCGAGCGCCGGGTCTTCCGGGACTGTCCCCGGATGTTCAGCAACATCGCGCAGATGATCTTCCACTGCTACTCCGCCGAGGCGGCGTCGCTGACGAACATCCACCACGTGCAGGAGCTCCTGCACGCCGGGCTCTTCAACGTGATGTCCCACGCCCTCATCCAGCGCCGCAGCACGGACCAGATGATGACGCTCGCCAAGTGCGCCTACCCGGCCTGCCTGTCGATCCTAGGGCGGGCGGTGGACCCGGCGGGCCCCGGCCGCGTCCTCGGCGTCGCGGTGCGGAACCGCTTCCGCCTGCTGGACCACTTCCTGTGGGCCGG